ATTTGACTTTTGTTTGGTTTGGGCCAGGAGGACTAGTGCTCTGTGGTCTGAGTCACTCCCCATATGCTTAGTAATGGTTGTATGTGTAGTGGTAATGAGCGAGGGGTGTGCCCATATTAATATGTAATCGATTCGAGATCGCGTCCAGTAGTTTTGCGTGTCCCAGAAATGAGTGAACTGGGGACTATTGCTGGACGTGGTTGCTGTGTCTATGAGGTTATCCATGTGGGGAAGAATGAGGTTAGTAAGAGGTTGGATCTGGTGTGGAGTGGAGGATATATGGTCATGCTGGTGTAGGATGCTGTTGAAGTCTCCTGCTATTATTGCTGGATGTGAGGGTAATGGGGGGAAGGAGTGCCAGAATTGCCTTTTTTTTGTGAGATTTGCAGGGCTGTATACATTCCTTATGGTGAATGAGCGGCCATGGCAGTTGGTGATTAGGATATCAAGGATTCTGCCCTCTTCCAGGGATTGAATGAAGGATGATGTAGTGGTGTGATGTACTAGGGTTGCAGTGTATGGAGTGATGTAGATGCCTCCTTGCCAGATGGTTTGCCATTTGAATTTCATTGTTTCGAGAGCGAGGGAGGCGCAGTTATTACTTGTGACATGGGTGGGTTCCTGGATTAGAATGATATCAGGCCGGAATTGGGAGAGTTTGTGTAAGAGGCGTCTGAATTTTTGGAATTTGGACAGTCCACGTGCATTGATTGAGATTATGTTCATGTTTATAATATGGTATTAGTATGTAGTATTTGTGTAGGATATGTTGGTGGAGTTATCCTGACATTTCTGTGTCGCTGTCAGGAGGGTGGATTGTTTTGGCCATGGCTTCATCCTCCTCTGTGAAAGGTGACCCAGAATAGTTAAGGATGTCTTGGTTGAGGGTTTGTTCTTGGCATTGTAGATATTCTGCTGCCATGTCTAGTGTGAGGGAGTTGCCTGAGTAGAACTCAGTAGGTGCAGTTGTTTGTAGTGATCCTCTGCGAGAGGCGGCTTGAGGGGGGTACCCCTGGGTTTGAGTTTTTGGAAGGGGGGTTGTAGGTTGGTGAGTCTGGTGCAACCATAGATGCATAGGAGATGTAGGGTGAGGATTGGTGTGTAGGCATGTGGAACTGTTGTGAGGTGGGAGCTGCAGGAGCTGCAGGGGTGTTATTGGAGCTAATTGGTGTTATGTTACTCTTACTGGAAGAGGCAGTTGGTGCAGTTGTTTGTTGATCCACAAACTTGGGGGTTTTGTTTGTGCTGCTGTCGATCGATTTCTTCAGGGTCTC